AAGATGCTACAGCGATTAATTCCTGTTTCTGAACTGTGGCTACTCTGGCTGCTCCTTCTTAAACCACTACAATTGCACTCTCTCTGCCTTTTGATGCTGGGGCATTGGTGATTAAACCCAGAGCCTCTTGCACATTCTACCACTAAGCTACACTCCAGCCTTCCTTCCATGTTTTAGTTTGAGACATGGCTGCTAACTTGCCCAGAAAGGACTTGCCCTCTCTGTTCTACCAGCAGGCTTTAAACTTCCTCTTTGCTACTTCATCACTACTGGCCCTGTCACCAAGGCAACCACATGTTCTTTTTAAAATATCTTTTGAAAAGATTGTCTACCTAAATGCAGCTTATTTGTTTATCTAGAGCAGTTAAGTAAGAATTTGATAGACTGTCCCCATGACTTTAAAAAAAAAAGTGCCCTCATTCAAAGACCAAAGTAACATCCCTACTTTCATTGACTTCTTCCAAAACACAGTAGAAAGTCATCTGAAATCAGGGTGTGGTCAAACTTAAAGAACTAGCTTTGTTTCTATGTATTTATTTGTACAGGAGAGGAGAGGAGGGGGACTCATATTCCATGCACGGCAGGTGTGTGACAGTAAAGACCAGCTTTCAGGATGTGGTTCTCTTCTTCCACCACGAGGGTTAGGGGATCATTCTCAGGTCATCAGACTTGTCAGTAACTGTCTTTAACTGCTGAGCTATCTCATAGCCCTAGTTTCTTCTTGGCAAACCACAATTCTTACAGTATTGGTTGTTCTCCTTCATGTGCTTCTTCAACTGGTAGAAAAGTTATGAAATATTAGTGGCTCTCACATGGAGATGTGATTTGACATTAACAATGTATCTGGAAAGGATGCATCTTTTTCTTGAAAATTAATTCAAAGCATCTTTTTCAAAACCTAAATGTCAGCATTATAAGTCATCTCCTGAAGGGCACTCAGGACCTGAGCATCATCTCCTTTACCCACCATCACCACCATCACCACCATCACCGTCACCACCCCCACACTGATTCTGCTAGGTCAACTCATTCTTACTGTTTAACTGTGGAATAGCTGAGACTTTCAGGTCAAGTAACTTGTTACAATGGCAAAAATACCATCCCAAATTCAGAGAGCTCCAGGGGCTCCAGGTTCTGTTCTCATCCTCCCCACCCCTGTGGGCTTGCTGCCCTCTGGGCATACCCTGCTCTCCCTCATGCTCTGTCACTGCTGGAACCCCACTCCTTGTATGAAATGTTCTCCTTTCTTCTGTTTTCCTTCCCACTTCTTCAGGAAGTTACGTTCCCACACTTGACCACACCCACCTGTAAACTGAGAAAGAGCTCTTACTGTCTGGCTGCTCCTCCCTTTCTTCACAGGCCTGTATATGGTGGGTTTTGTTGTTGTTTTGTTTTTAAATCTAGCTCCTCCAATACATTGTAAACTCTCTTGTCTTTGTAGCAGTAGACACAGTGAGAAGGAAAGAAAAGAATAAAGAGTGCAGGTAGATCTACTGGGGAACGTGGTATAAGATCACATGAATTTGTTCTTTCATCTTGATTTTTATGCCTTCAGTCCTCTGAATTGTGACTGATGCCTAACTGTCATCCTGGGCATAGTAAATGTGTGACTGACTCCTGTGTCATGAGAGAAAGGTTGAGTATATATTCAACATTACCACTGTCATCTGTTTTCAGAATTGGATCCTTTTTTGTTCAAGCTATATATTTTATAATATATATTTTGTTTTATTAAAGAAAAATGAAGCATCATTTTAAGGTTGTGGGACTGTATAAGGGTATCCTGGGTCATGGTTGAGCAGGTACTTAGAACCCCGAGATTCTCCGTGGAATTCTGCGTGAGAACCGGCAGGAGTTCGGTACCTCCCATCATCTAGGATCCTGAAAACAGCCACATTTCCATAGAGTCACATAGGCCAGGCTTTAGGCCTCAAGCCCTAGAGATTTACATACTAATGAAGGCCAGAGGGCAGAGCAAATTAAACATTCCTCCCCCAGATCCTCCCCTAATCCTCCCCCTTTCTTCCTCCCTATATAACTCGGGACGGCCCTGAGTTTTTGGGGGTACGCCTAGATGCATCTATTATCCGTCATGACAATAAACCTTTTTGGAACCAAGGACTTCCTCGTGTTACTGGGGCCTGCCGCCGCAAAGGCCCTCAGGCCGCTGGAACCGTAGGATCTTCTTCCCTGATGTGGGACCCACCACTGCGGCGCAAGCTTGCGCCGCTGTGGCGGCCTTTTTTAAATTTTCCCCACAAAGGTAATATCTTTGCTGCCCAGGCTGATCATAAAGTCATTAATTATTTGAGTAGTATGGATCCAGAAGGACCCCACTGCACCCAGAAGCAAAATAAAAACTCTTAAGCCAGGCCCCCTTATCCTACCAAGCTAAAACACATATTGATACATGACTTTCCACTCTCGGTTTTTATCCACCCCACTGGGAAATCTGAACTTGATTTTTCACTTAAACAATCTATAAGGAGAGAAGTGGTAACATTTGCTGAGCTTTTAGCATCTGCCTCAGCTCTGCTTCCAGGAAGCTTCATATAACAGGGGCTGGCAAGCAATGGCCAAGCACTAAGTCCAGTCTGAAAACTTACTGGGTAATGATTTCCCAGCTAGGAGTGGTTATTACATAGCTGAAAATAAAATTTAAAAGAGTGAAGTTTTGTGGCATGCAAATATTGATAGAAAGCCAAATTTTACTGTCTATAAATACAGATTTTAGACCATGATGTGCCTGCTCAATGCAGTGCCTCCAGCAGCTTTGTGATCGCAGCAGCAGCATCAACCCACAGCAGCAAGGGAAAGCATAGGGCCTGCAAACACCAAAGTCCCGCTATTTGACCTCTTTCAGAAATGTTTGTCGAAGTCTTCTCTACTTAACAGGTGTGGGCATCAGCCCCTTTCCAGATAAATAAACAGCAGCTAAAGTAGGTTGAGACACTAAAACCACAGAGTTAGCATATAGAAAGAAGCCAATATTAGCTGCATTTTTCATTGCACAGAAAGTGGCGATCTGTGTGTAATTTGCATGAATGCCCTGGCCCCTTTGTATACCAAGACCTTGTGTTTTCCACTCGTGAGATCAAGCAGGTGTTCACACCAACGTTTTACTTGCTAGAACCTCACCCTCAGGCAGACATTGAACAGCATTTGCACAGATGCTCTATCACCTGTTCCTTAAAACGGAAACAGAACCATGAGGTCAAGTCACTTTTTCCAGCTAATGTAGCAAGCTATCTGGGTATATTAGCTCCAAAGCCAGTAGTTCCACTGTGGGTTTGGGTGATGAACAAAGACTAATAAGTCTTCATTTTGCCTCATATCAAAGTTCTTGTGATGTCACTGAACAAAAACTGTGTGTGGACCCCACCATTCTCCACGAGAATGTATCAGAGGCATCCAGCACAGCAGGTCAGCCACACTATGCTGACTCCCCTCTGTTATTTACTCAAGATACAGCGAGCCTCTAGTACATGTCAGCTACTGTGCCACAGAGAGAGAGATTGAGAGAAGATAAAATGTCACTTTTCAAGTGAAACCACCGCCCCATGTGACAGCCCGGGGGGGGGGGGGGGGGTAAGACTGTGCTTCTCAGAAAAAGAAAAACAAAACAAAAACCTATGGATTAAATAGAGGAGATTCTATTTTACCCCAAGTTATTTCTATAAATGGGGAAATGATGATTTTTCTAAGGCAGGCTGGCCTATAATGCAATATGTGGATCAGACTGGCCTGGAATTTGCAGTAATCCTCACTACTGTCCCCTTAGCTCTAAGAAAAGAGGCATGCACCAATATAGCCTTGGATTTTTCAGGGATTTTGGTTCTTGTGTCTGACAGATTGTTTTAGAGATGAAGCTAGTCTGGTACCTTGTACCATTTAGACAGGCACAGTCCACATGGAAGGCAGAGAATGGAAAGCTAAAAAGCATAAAGCACATAGAGGAAAGCATAGGAAGATCTGTCTGTACTAGGAGTAAGGAAGCCCCCATACACAACATACCACCAGCCCCACTGCTACCCGCACCCTGTTCTCTCCGAGAATCCATATTCCTCCACCTCAGCCTCCCAAGTGTTTGGGTCATAATTACACACTACCATACCTAGTGAAGAGTTATCTTAAATAAGATACTAACATCAAAACATAAACCACAAAAGAAAACTAAAACTTTTTTGAACTACAACAAAATGAAGTATTTTCATGATAATACAGTTAGAAAACTGCTAGAATATCTATATACAGGTACAGATTTGCATGTTCACAATAAAAAGGGGAAGCCAGTTTTAAATAGACTCAACAGAAATGACAGTGTCCACAAGGAAAGTCTAAAGGCCAAGCAGAGTAAGAAGAGGTATACAAGCACACTGGAAAGCAAAGATGTATAACATAGAACAAGGTGCCTTCTGCACCTGTACTGATAGCAAAATGCTGGTAGACAGAATAGCCAACACTGCTGAGACCAGTGAGAATAAAAACAGATCCAACCATTCAGTGCACACATCATATGGACAATAATAAAATATTGTTTTATAGAGGCAGAGAGTTTAATTCCTTTTTTATCTCCTAGTGTGACATCTCAAAGACAGAACAGTACCTGGACACAAAACTGTCAGTGAGCAGGCAATTATTATTGCATTATGTGAATTCTTGAATAATTAAGTCCTCTTGCTCTCAAATAAATTATGCTTACAAGCCCATTATATAGTAAGTCCAGAGTGACTTGTAAGATGAATTTACAACCTAGAAAAGGTGTTTATTCAAGTGTTTGGTACAAAGCAAGCTTTGTTTCAGCCTCCTTATTTAAAAAAGTTCATTTGCATCTATTCCAAAAACGAAAGGGAGAAGAAGAAAGGAAGAATGATGAGGAGAGTTAGGGTTTCCTCTGCACTGGAAATCTGTCGTGGCTGGCCACACCCCTCGTTGATGACGTCACAGTCATGGGAGTTAGCCAGGGCTCAGACACACCCAGCATCACCTCTCAGGATTGCAGTGTGGCTTTGAAACCATGCCTCCTAAGGCCCTGCAGAAGTCTATCACACGGCCTGGACCATCTGCTCCCTTCCTCTCAGATGAGCACTAGCCCACAACGTCAAGAGCTGGCCCTACCCTTTTGCCCACACCCATGATTGTTCTGTCCACTTCCCGTTCTGTTCTAGGTTTACATCCATCAGGTCAGGGCTAGACTTTTCACAGGAGGTAGGTGTATTCTCTGTCCTTCAAAACCACCCCTATTCTTGGGGGAAAAAACGCTTCCCATGAGATGGTGCCTTCTTCTGTTTCTCATTTCCTTACTTTGTGAAGGTTTTCAACTTCTGTTTCCACTGTAGCCTTCTAGAAAGATATGTCAATTGGGATAAGATCTCATGAAACTGCATGACTTCCACAAAGTTTCTTTTTCTGAAGAAGAAGCACCATCTACTGCTAGGAAGTGAGCTGGCATGCTTTAGGTCTTAGACATAATCAGAAAGAAATCCAGTTAAGCAAGTCTCTGGGTATATTGTATCTTACTCTCTATATCATATTCCTAGAGCATAGATATATTTTTTAAATGCATCTTTTGTATCGTCATCACTCTGGACTCTTTCTGACACGTTGCAGGCAAAAAAAAAATTCTTGTTTAAAAGGTTTTTTTAATTAAAAAAAACATACAGAACCTATAGCCTTCTTTCCTCTGTGCACTGCAATGTCTATCCACGAGGGGGCAGCACATGACTTTAATGAGGAGCTCCGCCCTTACTGATGGCCCTCTTAGGGACATGGGTGGCCACCAATTACAAAGACTAGGAATTTATGCTTGCTCTCAACAGTAACTCTTATTTCAAGAAACCTGAATACAATTCTGTCATCAAAAATATCTCGGGCATTTTTAAGCACAGCCTGGATTTTTACATGTAAATGTACACATTTTGATTTTAAAATAGTTTTGTATAAGATATACTTTCTTTCTCTTTTCCTCTACCATGAATTTGTTTGTTGAATGCTTGCACCAGTTTTTAGATCAGATTCTCAGCACATGCCTGATGCCAGTACTTGAGGAACAAGGATGGGGAGGATCACAGAGTTGGAGGCCAGCCTCATCTACAGAACAGACTCCAAGCAAGACACTGTCTCAATTAATTAAGATAAAATTTACTGTAGCATTCTCTAGGCAATGAGACTATGTGTCGGGAAGGAATATCATTGGCAGGTTGGATCACAGAACTGGACCTCATCCACTTGTAGTGTTGGGACATGTAGCTCATGTTTATTGTACTTATGCCTGTAGTTGAAAGTTTAAGTGAATATAATAAGCAGATTGTGTGCTTGTCTTTAGAAGTTCAAATGCCTTGAGCCTCTTTTGTGTAAGCCAGTGCTCTGGACTGACATTGGTAGTTCCATGCTTTTAAAATATAAGAACTCTTCAATTTCTAAAAACTTACCAAGGGGCTAGAGGGATGATTCAGTGGTTAAGAACCACTGGCTGCTCTTTCAAAGGACCAGGGTTTGCTTCCCAGCACCCATATGATGGCTCACAGTCCCAAGTGATCCGACACCCTCACCTGGCCTCTGTGGGCACCAAGAATTCACATGACTCACACAGATACACATGCAGACAAAACATTCATCCACAAAAATAAAAATTACACTGAAAATAAAGTAAAATGAAAATATAACTAGTCCATATTTTACTTCAATGTTTCTTGCCCATACTGCAAGCACTGTTACTATCTCTTAAGTCATCACTCAAGTGATGAATATATTATTTAAATTTTTTTTGTATCCTCTTTCATCTATCCGTTTCCAATCCATTGCATGCTAACCTATAACTATCAGACCACGGATCTTTAAGACGATTAAAGGGCTAAGTCAGCCTCAGGGAGGCCCTACCTCCTATTCTTGAGTTAGTTCCTTTTCTGTTACTATGATAAAACACATTGATCAAGGCATCTGATAGAAAAACAGGTTTGTCTGAGTTTATGGTTCCAGAGGGGTAAATATCCGTCATGGCACAGAGACATGGGAGCAAGCAGCAGGCACAGTGGCTGGAGCAGGGTGCTGAGACCTTACATCATGGACCAAAGGCACAAAGCAGAGAGAACGGCGTGTGAGTATGACCTTAGCTCTCAATGTCCATCAGCAGTGACAGGCTTCCTCCACCAAGGCTGGACCTCCTCAACCTCCCCCAAACACTGCCACCAACTGAGGACCAAATGTCAGCGCCTCTGAGAAACATTCTCATTCAACACACTACAGTCTTCCTACTGGAAAAGAGACGAACATAAACATGATATTCAAAAGTAAAAGTTCAGGCTAGAAATGGTTCAGGGGTTAAGATCTTGTGCTGGTCTGCCAGAAGAGCCAAATTCAGTTCCCAGTACCCACATCAGCTCACAACCACCTTTAACAGCTGTTTTAGTGGAATCCAACGTCGCTGGCCTCCATGGTTATCTGAGGACATGTGTATACACACACACACACACACACACACACACACACACACACCACTTTAAAATAATTTTTTTACAATGTTTCCTGAAGTTGTAGTACACTGGAAACATGGTCAGGCTTGAAAATACAGAAAGAAAGCAATAGGTTACCCAGGCATTTTCCTCTTTGTGATCAAGACAGCCAGGCCTCTAGTAAAACAGCTAAGATCTTTGCAAGGCCTCATCTCCCCCAACAAAACTGACAGCAAGTTCCCTTCACACAGCTCACTCTATTGATCTAGTGGAGTCTGTTTCAACAAGCGTCTATCAATAGCATCTAATGTTTCTGGTAATACCATTTTAAAACAAATCCAAAACAGTGCCCTAAGCAAAATGGAAATATGGTTTTTTTTCCTACATAAAAGAAAGGCAGCTCAGAGACCTAGGCTGCTGCTGTTCTTATCCAGTCTATGGAATCAAGAAGCCTCTGATATCCTGCCCTCCATCACTCATTCTAGTAACAGAGGAGACGAAAGACCAGCTCCTGCCGGTTAGCTTACATTTGTTGATTTGGGATTTTCTTGTGCTGTTTTGTTTCCAGAAATCTTCCTCAAATTTCTACCCAGTCAGTTGTGGTTATATCACACTGGTTCATAAGCCACAGAACTCCAGCAGCACACAAAGGGACCAAGAATTTGCCGTTCATTTAGACAAAAATGTTCCCACAGTTTAAGTCTCTGTTACCAACGAAGGAGAGGAGCAACACTTGAAAGAAACTGGCAGTCCCAAGTCACATATTAATGAAAAGTTCCCTTGTAGTAGTGCATATTGAGAGCAATTTAAATGGCCTGGAGAAGAAATGGTTAAGGGAAATGCAAAATGTTTGTATATTAAGCTAATATTTTAAATATGACTAGGATGCAGTTACAAGCAAAAACAAAATAGGATTGTATATGTAAAATCATATATCTGAAAACATTCTTTTTTAATGTTATTAACAGTCGTTACCTAAGCACTGGAGTTTGTAATGTAATTTTACTCTGCACTTTTCCATGTGTTTTGCATGTTTTCCAAAGGGTATTTACAAAATCAGTATTTACATGATTACTGTGCAAAGAAAAAGACTCTAGAGGCTTGGGAGAAGGTCAGCAGCCCTTTCTACACAAGTGTAAGAACTGGGGTTTGAACTCCCAGAACCTGTAAAAGCCAGATGGATGTGAGAACTACCTTGTAATACCAGGGGACTGGCAGGTAAAGCAAAGAGAGGGACGCGCAGAGCTAGCTGGCTAGCCAGACTGGATGGCTCAGGAGCTCCGGCTTCATGGATAGCTCAGGAGCTCAGGCTTCAGTGAGGGATCCTGCCTCCATTTGTAAGACGGAGAGGTTTGAGAAAGGCATCTGACATCAACCTCTGACTTCTACATGCATCTGCATGCAAATGCACAAACACACAAGCACACACTTATACATACATGCATTGACACAGTAACACACACACACACACACATATACATATATATATACACACACACACTTACGGATACGCACATTTACACACACAAACACACATACAGATGCAAAACAAAAGAAGACTCCAAGAAAACATCTTTAATAACTCAAAAACAGGGGGCTTATGAGATGACTCAGTGGTTAAGAGCACTGACTGCTCTTCCAGAGGTCATGAGTTCAAATCCCAGCAACCACATGGTGGTTCACAACTATCTGTAATGAGATCTGACACCTTCTTATGGCGTGTTTGAAGACAGTGACAGTGTACTTACATATAATAAACAAACAAACAAACAAACAAACCTTTGGGCTGGAGCAAGCAGGGAGAAAAACAAAAGACAGCAGATGTAGATTATAAAAAAAATAAAAATAAAAACAGACCAGCCTCTAAAACTTGTAATCTATACGTCAGACTTCAACCTTTGGTTTTTGAGAGCTGCCCAGTTGACACCATCTTCATATAAAAAATAACATAGAGTGCACTGGCCACTAGTCTGTAATAACCCTAAGCAGAACGGTAAGGAGAGCGATAGTTCCTTTTGTATTTTAAAGCCAGCTGATATGAATCGTGCTTCACTCTGCTTCCTTTGAATTTTTAGTATGATACCAGAAGACGGCAAAGGCTTACGCTAACGTCTGCACACCACACATTGCACACATGGATATCAGAATGGCAGCCAAGACCCCCACTAGTCCTTGCCCCCTTTTCACTCCGTCTGCTGTAAGCACACGTTAAGCTTTTCCACTGAGAGATAAATGGAATATTTGGAATCAAAGCCTGCCTTCCCTTCCATGTGTTCTTGGCCTCACTTCTCAAACGGAGAGAATGATGACTTTTTTACAGCATCAAAGGACGCTGAAAAGATCAAATAAAATAGCTGATAGGAGCTGTATCACCAAATTGAAAAGCAGCATGCATAATGCTGGGTACATAGACTTGTCACAGAATCACAAGCTTCAGCAGTGTACGGTCAGGTTTCAGAGGCAGAAGCTGTCTATCATCTTTGGTCCGGCCCACAACACCTGTAGCCACAACGGCCTAACAGATCAATTGCTACTTCAAACACAGCAGGAAACTGAGAAAAGCAGGTGTTAGAAGGAAGAGAGTGGAATCACCACCACAAGATGCATCATAACGAAGGCAGCCAGAATGTCATCACACTCACTGACATTGTGAGCGGGTGAGCTTTAATTTGTCCAGAAAACTATATTGTACTAAAGGACTTTTAAAAATAGAGTAATGTGATTTTTCTCAAAATGTCAATTTGCAGATCCCACTAATTTCAAACATCTGCAAACTAAATATTTTAAACTTCTCACAGACAGAAAAGAAAGAAAAATCCTAATATTAAAAACAAATGCCGGGCAGTGGTGGCACACACCTTTAATCCCAGCACTTGGGAGGCAGAGGCAGGTGGATTTCTGAGTTCGAGGCCAGCCTGGTTTACAGAGTGAGTTCCAGGAGAGCCAGGGTTATACAGAGAAACCCTGTCTCGAAAAACAAAAACAAAAAAACAAAACAAAAAAAACCAACCAAATAAACTGGGTACAGTGGCTGCATGCTTTTAATCCCGACCCTCAGAAGGCAGAGGCAGGTAGGTCTCTGTGAGTTCAAGGCCAGCCTAGTCTACATAGTTCCAGGCTAGCCAGAGCTATTTAGTGAGACCCTATCTCAAAAAACAAACAAAATCCAAATAACTTTTTTTTTTATTCAATGAGAGCAAAAAGATAGCCTTTACTTGGAGAAATGGTCACTCTGAACACACATTCATACCCATAGATACAAATGACAAATGTGAGCATGTGCGCGACCACACACACACACACACACACACACACACACACGAGAGAGAGAGAGAGGGGGGGGCTCAAGTGTTATATCATTGCCTTTGAAATGACATCTGTCTTAACCTCCATCTTAGCAGGTGGAGGAAATTTGGGGTAGAATGGTGTAGCTCATTAGTCCCGCTTGGTTTTCGCTGAGGTAGGCTGAATTACACAGTGCCAGAGCCCATCCGGGGCTCCTCCTTGTTTGGGTTTCTTGTTCCACACCTGGATCAGATCATATTGCCTTGAAGACCAATCCTTTTTAATGCTGAGAAAAAGGGTGACCAACACTGATTGACTTCTTAGAGTTTAGGTGACTTGCGGTTTCTCTCACCATGTAGATAGGTGAGTGTCCTGTTTCTTTTTTTTTTGTTCTGAAGGGATTTGGTGGAATTTATCAGAATGATCTTTTTATAATACCCTTTGTTTGTATGGATCTGTTTCCCAACATTTTAAGCTTCTTTATACACCCCCAAGCCCCATTTGTGAGCTTTGTTTACTGTGGGGTATGCTTTTGCGTCTTTGTTAAGGGACTCCATTGACAATGGCTTTTGAAACACTCACTGTACTACCCTGCAGACTTAGGCTACCACCTGCTCTGACTTCCACCATGACCCTGAGACTCTGTCCTAGTAACTTCTCTACAGCTCAGTGTTCCCATCTCTAAAGTGTTTAAATAAGCCATCGGGCTATTTATAAGGTTTACTGGAAACTTTCTTACAGTAAAGTTTGCATGTTTCAATGTACTTGCTTAAAGCAACGTTACGTTTTGTTGACCTTGTAACTAATCACTCATGTTTCCTCCTCTGCTCTTAGTTCTGTCTGTACCGTGTCCCACGTGGATGATCCCAGACAGTGTGATGAATCCTCTTGCCTCACAGCCAGGATGGAAAACACCTACCAGTTAGGTGCGCTGCTTTGTCATTCATCAGAAAGCTAAACCTCCACTTTAATGACCAGTGCTGGCTTAGCTGTAGCCTGTCATTGTCTTCAGTCCTAGATAAGGGACCTTAATTTAAGAAAGTGGGCGGCCAACTGAAGAGTTACAGACTTGCTTTGCAAAATTGAAGCAATACTTATTTCCTTTAAAACAAAACAAATCGGGTTTACTTAAATCTCAAATGAATCTCTGGATGCCACAATGTGTATAACATGATTTAATTCAGGTTCACTGGGTATTTCTTGATGGAGTTTGTGTGTGTGTGTGTGTGTGTGTGTGTGTGTGTATGTGTGTGTGTGTGTGTGTGTCAGAGAGAGAGAGAGAGAGAGAGAGAGAGAGAGAGAGAGAGAGAGAGA